GTCCTTATCTCCATGTCATATTTGGTGTTTTCTCTACATTGTCACAATGTTGATTTTCTCTGGTTGCTTACCATTCCTGTCTACTCTGCCACACAATTTGTACTGTTAAATTTCTGTTTTATATTTTTTTTTATTCAATAAAGATGGTCTTTTTGGTAAAAAAAATAAAATTTAATGTGGATGGTGTTGTTGCATCGAAGTCTATGGGACGCGTTGTTCCATCAAAGTCGCTAGGTGGCGTTGTTGCATTGCCATTTATGGGACACGATTTTGCATCAAAGTAGCTAGGTGGCGGTTTTTGCATCGAAGTCAATGGGACGTGTTTCTGCATCAAAGTTGCTAGGTGGCATTGTTGCATTGCCATTTATGGGACACAATTTTGCATCAAAATCCCTAGGTGGTGTTTTTTGCATTGAAATCGATGGGACATGATTTTGCATTGAAGTCACTAGGGGGCATTTTGCATTGAAGTCTATAGGACGCAACCTTGCCTTTGCACATTTCTTTTATAATAAAAGCAGAAGCCATTATCAGCACATTTTTTCCTCCCCATTGGCAAAAAGCTGATAACACCATTTTTGGCTGCTGATCTATCAGTGCATCCCTAATTTCTGGACTTACCGGTATAATCCATTTCTGGGAACACCGTACAGGACACAAGTTCTTTATTCATTATGATTAGTAATATGCAGTGATCTTCAAGTGATAGGACACTAAAGCTGTAGGGACACTCTTATGTGACTCTTCTCGCTCCCAGCTTGCCCTGGATTTGTAGCAACAAATTGGGGAGATCATGAGAACAGAAGGCAGGCCACTGGATTTTACTGGCAAGCCAGAGCTCTAATTTTCCAAGTTTTACAGTAGGGACACGATCTCTAATCATTGGGCTATCCAAAAGCATACAAATAATGCTAACAGCAAGGCAGCTGATAAGGGGGTACAGCTGGGCATCAGGGGGAATAGGATTGTGGACAGGAGAGGGCGATTAGTGCAGCGAGGAGGGCAAATACTGGAACTGATCCCCTATGTGGCACTCCCTGCAGCAGCTGAAAGCTGGCAGGAGGGAGAGGAAAAGAAGCCATCTCAGCTGCTGATGGGGAGTAACAGACAGGTGGATCAGTTCCAGTAATTGAACCCCTCCTGAGCTGCACTGATCAACGCCCTCCTGTCTACAATTCATTTCCCCCTTGTGTGCCCTTTTCCCTGCACTACCAGCTTTCCTCACTCCAATAAGCTTTCAGCTGCTGCAGGAGAGAACTACAGGGGGAACGGTTCCAGTAATTGTCCCCACCGCACTGATAACCCTCTACAATACGATTATTAGACTGGTCGTGGACCCCATGATTTCTAACAAAGCCCTGCTTAACAGGCCCACATAGCAAATGGGTCAAGAGATGCTCAAAAGACTCAAGAGAAAAGCTTGCAGCACCGTACGCTCCAAACTGGCATCATAGGAGGCCTGACACATCCTAATGTCACAAATGTGTGAACAGAAGCCCAGGTGACAGCCTTGAAAATCAAAAAACACAGACACCTGATGCTGAAAATCCCATGATGCTCTAACAGATCTGGTAGAGTGTGCCCTAACAGGGAAGGGAGGAAACCTATTTTGTTGCCAGGTCCATATTGCCTATAGACCTGATAGCGGGGGGGGGTGTGGGGGGGTTGGTCTCTCTCTCTCTCTCAGGATTGCGTATAAATCTGACAAGCCAACTTCTGGCTGTCAGATGAAACCAGTCAAGTGCTAGATTGATTTCATACCCCCCCATCCCGAAATGGGCATCCACACCATGTATACTGGGCTCCAATCTGTAGGACCAGAACCAGCATACTGGGTGCTGCTGGGGGGAGGGGAGTCAGCATCTTGTTGCTGATCTGGAAGTGATGTTTAAGACATCAAATTTGGGTCCCTCTGTCAGTTTCCCTGGGAAAGAATGTATTGCAATGCAATCCGCACTGCATTACATTCAGTGGAGCACATGGGACACATCCAGGGAAAAGAAGAAAAAAAAAAAAAAAAAAACAGTTACACCCAAGTATATAAAACCCCCCCCAAAAAAAAATAAAATAAAATTTGAGCCCCCTCCCACATATACGTAAATGCTCGTGTCTCCACATGAAAAACAGCGATTGTGTAACACGTTACTAACTGCCACGCACACAGAGAGCAATATTTCTAGCACCAGACCGCCCTGTAAAACGCTAAACTGATGACCTATAGGGGGATTTTAAAGCTATGAGAAAATATAGGGTACCGAGTTTGTCACCATTTCACAGGCGCACGCAAATTTAAAAAGAAAAAAAAAAAAAAAAAAAAAAAAAAAAAAAAAAAAAAAAAAAAAAAGGTATCCATTTACTCAGTACAACCTCATCTTTAACCACTTATTATACCCCCTTCCTTACCAGGCCAATTTTCAGCTTTCAGCGCTGCCGCACTTTGATTGACAATTGCGCGGTCATGCAACATTGTACCCATATGAAATTTTGATCATTTTTTTCTCACAAATAGAGCTTTCTTTTGGTGGTATTTAATCGCCACTGGGCGCTTTACTTTTTGCGCTATAAATTAAAAATGTGCAAAAAATTTGAAAAAAAAAAAAGTTTGTTTCTTTTATAAAATTTTTCAAACAGGTATTTTTTCTCCTTCACTGATTTGCGTTGATGAGGCGGCACTGATGGGCACTGATAAGCGGCACTGATAGATAGCAGCACTAATGAGGTGGCACGGATAGGCGGCACTGATAGACCGCACTAATTAGGGGTCACGGATAGGCGGCACTGATATGCAGCACTGATAGGCGGCACTGATAGGTGACACTGATGATGGGTACTGATAAGACGGCACTGACTGGCATCACTTCTGGGCACTGACTGGCGGCACTGACTGGCACAACCCCTGGGCACTGACTGGTGGCACTGGTGGGTGGCACTGGTGGGCGGCACTGGTGGGCACAGGTGGGCAGCACTGCAGAGTGGCACAGGTGGGGGCACTGCTGGGCACAGGTGGGGGCACTGCTGGGTGGAACATGCGGGTGTCACTGCTGGGCACCGATCATCAGGGCACTGATCATCAGTGCCCTGATGATCGGTGCCGATCCCCGCTCTGACAACTGCCGGTTCTCGGCAGTACTTTCCTCACGATCTGACAGCGTGAGGAAAGTGCAGCCGAGAACCGGCACTTGCATTTCCCTGTGATCAGCGTGTCATTGGACACCGCTGATCACGTGGTAAAAGGCCGGTGGGATTGGCCTTTCACCACATCACGTGATCAGCTGTGTCCGTAGGACACAGCGATCACGGAGATCGCCGGGTGCGCACCCCCTGGGGCGCGCAGGAGAGCGCGTTCTGGGAGGACGTCATATGACGTCCACTCAGAACTGGCCGGCCGCGGTGAAGCCGTCATTCGGCTATGCGCGGTCGGCAAGAAGTTAATATCTACCAAAAAAATGTGGTAATTTATTGCATTTTTGTGCATTCATAGTAACTTTTGCTGTATTTTTTTACCAAAATTTTGGATTTTACACCTTTGCGGTAATATAGTGCGATATAAAAAAAAAAAAAAAAAAAATTTGCAATTACCACTATTTTATTCTCTAGGGTGTCTGCATTCAGAAAATATATAATGTTTTGTGGGTTTATGCAATCAAGATTTTTTTTTTTTTTTTTTTTTTTTACACATATGCAAAACATGCAAAAAAAAATGGCTCTAAACAAAAGCAAAATAAAATTTTACACATTATAAATGCAGTCTAATTTTTGTTTATTAATATAAATAATTAAGTGGGCTTCATACAAAACATATACAAGAGGTTTGAACAGAAAAAAAAAAAAAAAAAAACTGCCTTTCATCCTGTGTGAAGGAATAGTGGAGATAAAAAAAAAAAAAAAAAAAAAAAAAATGATAATAGATAATAATCAAGTATATAGACAATAAATGCTACCCTTCTTTTCATTAAATAAGTGAAATATCCCTCTACTGTCAGTATTCCTGTGCACAGATCATCCAAGGAGAATGACAAACAAATGCATTAAATAAAAAGCTATAGCTCTCTAGTCAAAACAGACTAGTGGACTTTTGAAAAAGCCCATACCCAAATTGTTTTGTTTTATCAGCCGTAATATTGTGCGATATTAAAAAAAAAAAAAAAAAAAAAAAAAAAAAAAAATTATGATGATGATAGGTCCCATTCCAATTTGTGCATTTTTATTAATTTAATTAAATTACAATTAATACATAAGTGATGCATGTGAAACTGCGCACACTATATAAAATCGGCACCATTATAATAGAGATCTGTGGGAAATGAGACTGCATAATGAAAAATGCAGACATGAGGTTGACGGGGGCATTGACTAGAACGGCAGATCTCATGTATTTTGCATGCAGTTTTCCGTGCAGTGAACCGAGCCAAAACTGCGCAAATGTGAATTGGGCCTTCTAATTCTCTTCAAGCAGTTCTGTGCTTTACACACTGCCTCACTATATAGCCAAAGGACTTCATGTGGTTCAGCTTTTTTAAATTGCTTGCTTGCTTAGTCAAATGGACAAAAATAGCAGCAAAATAAGCACATTGTAGAGGTGGTAAAAAAAAAAAAAAAAAAAAAAAAAAAAAAGTGTATCACATCAATAGCCATGTATTGCAGCAAAAGTGTGTAAATCACAAGACTGGCCAAGCAGAATTATAACCCCTTTGGCAGGTAAAACAGGTCAGATACATATTTCAATTGTGCATTTAACGGTTTGCTTGGAGAGTCACACTTATGTGTTCTCTCTCTTCCCGAATGTATCTTCCAGTCTGAAAAGTACCAGTAAATAAATATTTTCACTCCAGTTTTGAGGTTTTGCATGCAAGTTGTAGTGGATCAGGCAGCAAAAACACGGTTCTGTAAGCAGATTGTATGCCCATCAGAACCAGTTAAGTCCCTAGAGCACAGCTGCTCATTTTTCTGGTTGCAGAACATGATGGAAACTCAAAGTCTTTTTTTTGCCCTTAGGCCATTCACCGTTTCTTTTTGCTGTGTCTCAGCATCTTCTTCCTCTTCAGGATCATCTCGTAGAGTTTCTCAAGTCCTTGGTGCAAACCTCTGCCATCCACAGCACTACAGCCCTGAATGTGACTCAAGGTGGATGTGCCAAGTTCATGTACAGCTAGTAACTTCTCCACTTCAGCAACTGAAGCGGCATCGGCCACGTCCTGCTTGTTAGCGACGATTAAAACGGGTACGCCTTGGTTTTCAGAAGTCCTTGTAATTTTGTGGAGTTCCACTTTGGCTTCCTCCATACGTTCCTTTTCTGAAGAATCCACAACAAACACCATGCCATCAGTCCTTCTGGTGTAGGATTTCCATAAAGGTCTAAGTTTCTCCTGGCCACCAACATCCCAGACCTGAAAAGTGATTGCCTTCGAATTCACAACTGGGGCCTTGATTTTTTCCATGTTGAAGCCCTTGGTGGGAACACATTTCACAAACTCCTTGAACTTGAGTCTATATAAGAGGGAGGTCTTTCCAGCGGAGTCCAACCCAATGACAACCACGTGTAGAGTGTGAAAGGCTGGAAGAAAGGAGGTGTTGGGTGCAATCTCGGTAAGGTGATTCCCCATGGTTTTTCCACTGGTAAGCCAATAGATATCAAAGGACTTTTCACAATGGTACAAGAGTTCTTTGAAGACGTCACATAGCAGATATATGAAGTATTAATTGCACTCGGAAAGACTTCTCTAAAAATGAAGGAAAAAAAAAAAACATTATACATCTGGCACAGGTAAAAAGATAGAGAGGTCTGAATACATATTTTGCATTTTTTTTATTGTATTAAAAAAAAAACAAAAACTAAACTCTAAGCAAGCAGAATTTGCAAGGGATTAGTAACGGTGTACAGCAAGTCATGTGACCCAGGCACAGAAACACACCCAGATCCACACGCCTTGGTCATAACTCCAGCAGCCTACTGACTGGGCAAAGAAGCAGGGATTAACTGATGAGGTCATCTTTCTGCTCAATCCTCCCTCTCCTTCAAGTACTGCAGCCAGTCCAACTCTCACTACTGGCCCTCCATCTTCCAGGCTGAAGCTGGCCATACATGGACAAATGTCCCTAGGGGGACATTGTTTTCTGACAGCTGGCCCCACCTACTGATATAAAATACCCAAAATGCATCTACTGTACTTGGATGCAGGCACTGTTTGGCCAAGAATGTCCCTTTGGGGTATTGTATTCCGACATCTAGCTGAACAGCAACAAGGCTGTTCTGCCACCTGACACTTTGGGAAGTGTCGGATTTCTGTTCTCTACTGCTAGCCCCATACTCAATGCAGAACCCAGTAGTAATATGGACGATGGGACAGGTGAGTCCAATACCTACATGGTCTGTAGGGTCTAATTGTAAGCAAGTTCTGTTCAGCCAACAATTTTCCAGGACCAACCAATAAGTGAATTTCAGATGGTTTCCTGTTGAGCTCGCTGAAAGTTCACTCAGTGGGTGGCCCCGTCTGCACCACTCCAACCAACATATCAAATATGTTGGTGGCCCCATCGGGTACCACGACACCCAACATATTTTGATAGGTTGGAGTGGTGCAGATGGGGCCAACAACTGAGTGAATTTGGTTCCGGTTGAGCTGCCTGCAAATTCATTCAGTTGGTGGCCCCATCTGCACCACTCCAGCCAACATATCAAAATAGGTACAGTGGGTACAGATGAGGCCACCAACATATTTTGATATGTTGGAGTGGTATATAATATATATTTTCCAGGACCACCTATTGAGTGAATTTCGGATTGGTTCCGGTTGAGCTGCCTGCAAATTCACTCAGTTGGTGGCCCCATCTGCACCACTCCAACCAAAATATCAATATGTTGGGTGGTGTGGTACAGATGGGGTCACCAACATATTTTGATATGTTGAGGTTGAGTGGTGTACAATATATACATATATATTTTCTAGGACCACCCAATGAGTGAATTTCGGATTGGTTCCAGTTGAGCTGGCTGAAAGTTCACTCACTGGGTGGTCCTGGAAAATGGTTGGAACTTGCTTACAATTAGCCAGACCCTATAGACCATGCAAGTCTTTGACTCACCTGTCCCATCGGCCATAACAATACTACAGTTCTGCACCAACTATGGGGCTGGTGGAAGGAACCATGGCATTTAGTAGGGACCAGAAATCTGACAAAAAGTGCCAGATAAAGCAGATCCTGCAGGCACCGTAGATCTTGAAGGAGATCAGAGACACAGATAAAATGGGAAAGGTGGGTATAAACAACTCTTCTCCATAGGGAAAACATCTTATTTTTTATTTCGCAACAAGGTCACTTGAAGATTTCCTAACAACTATACAGCATAAAATCCTATCTGAACAATTCACGTCATTTACATTTAGTTGGGGAGGCTCATGAAATAAAAAATATATATATATATATATATATATATATATATATATTTTTTTTTTTTTTTCTATTTATTTATTTCCTGCTAAATTTCACTGAGCTAATCAAAATCTAATGACTCTGCATGCTGAACGTTTCAATAACAAAAGCCATCTGCTCAGCTCCATCCCTTTCTAGGATGAACTTTCACAACAAGAAACCAGTATGTCCAGTTTACAAATGGAGAATGACTTCATTTATTGTGTCATTGTTTGCTGAAGAAATTACAAATGCAAAGCAGTCATGACCAGGAATGAGACAAGGTAAAGTCAGAGATGCTTGTATTATGTAAATCTTTTTGCACAAGTTAAAAAGAAAAACCCACAACACACACAAACAAACCCACCAAAACAAAAATACAATATAAATGTATAAATAAAACAAATAAAATACAAAAAACACCACACATGCACAAAAAAAAAAAAAAACAAAAGTATAAATAAAACAAAAATATAAAAAAACCTCACAAAAAACTAAAAACACCACACATGCACACACAAAAAAAAAATACAAAATTTATAAATAAAAAAAAAAAACCAAACAAAAAAAAAAAAAAAAAAAAAAACACAAAACCTACATTAAAAAAAAAAAAAAATGTATTTTCTATCTTCTAGATGCTGGCATTTTACAAATGCAGTTTCTGCTTCCTAAGCTAAAATGATTATGTGATCTTTACTATGAAAAAACCTAAAAAAACGTACAATTGGGTGTATCTAGGGAAACCAATATATTCGGTTAAGATGACCATCCCCCCCTTTATACCTCGTGTTAACTTTGAGTTGCATTTATTTTAACCTTTAATCCTGAAGTCACATACTCTCCCACCCAGCAAATCCAGCATTGTTCCACTGTGATCAGCCAAGTCCTGCAAGAGCCATCGTCTTCACTGACCTCATCAGGAGCTGGTTGATGATGAGCACCAGGTCTGTCCTGAAGCTGCAGAAGGAGATGTCTCCTGAGATATGTGACATGCATATCCTAAAGGAGGCTTCAGGTGCCAGAGATGGCATTCTCACCCAGGTGACAATGAAGGAGGGAGAGGGGCCAGCTGGAGTACAAAACAAATTTAAAAAAAAAAAAAAGTTTTTTTTTTTTTTTTTTTTTTTTTTTTAAATAAAGCAGGTCCACTTTAGAGGTTATTCATACCACAATCCCAATGTCTTCATGACTTGTTTCAGATTTTTGCCCCCCCCCCCACCCCCATTTTCAATGTTTTCCCAAAGTTGTGCTGAAAAAAAAAAAAAAAATTCACTCTCCCGCACTGCAACACTGATCTGAACTGGCCTAACTAGAATATCTTGCTTTTCACTGTATTTGCATTTGGAATGCATGCATCTGGTGTAAATGAGCCTTAAAAGTGCAAATAAACAGAGACATGAGATAACAGCGACCCAATCTGCCCATCTCCCCCATAGTCTCCGGTGTGTGGGCATAAGATAACGGCGACCCAATCTGCCCATCTTCCCCATAGTCTCCGGTCATGAGATAATGGCGACCCAATCTGCCCATCTTCCCCATAGTCTCCGGTCATGAGATAATGGCGACCCAATCTGCCCATCTTCCCCATAGTCTCCGGTCTGTGGGCATGAGATATCGGTGACCCAATCTGCCCATCTTCCCCATAGTCTCCGGTCATGAGATAATGGCGACCTAATCTGCCTATCTTCCCCATAGTCTCCGGTCTGTGGGCATGAGATATCGGTGACCCAATCTGCCCATCTTCCCCATAGTCTCCGGTCTGTGGGCATGAGATATCGGTGACCCAATCTGCCCATCTTCCCCATAGTCTCCGGTCATGAGATAATGGCGACCCAATCTGCCCATCTTCCCCATAGTCTCCGGTCTGTGGGCATGAGATATCGGTGACCCAATCTGCCCATCTTCCCCATAGTCTCCGGTCTGTGGGCATGAGATAACGGCGACCCAATCTGCCCATCTTCCCCATAGTCTTCGGTCTGTGGGCACCATCTGATATCCCTGTGCAGATGAATTCAGAAGGGGGGGGGGGGGGGGTAATCAGATAATTTTAAAGCTCCTGTTCAATCATTTGGAAGACATAATGTCTGACAGATGTTCTTCTTACAGATCCACACTTCTGAGAAGAACACTTTACACCTCTGCAGGGGAGCCAGACATCCCCCTGTGCTCTGGGTGGGAGGGGGGGGGGGGCTCTTTAAGGCAACTCAATCAGCACTGAATGGATTAAGCAGGATGAAAGGCCATGTTGTCAATGAGGCCAGACATCTTGACAGCCAGGTCTCAATAAACATTAGAGGGTCTGCTGACAACATTTAGGTAATTAAAAAAAAAAAAAAAAAAAAAAAAAAACATTAACCAGGGATGTGAAGCGAATCCAAGTTCTGGAAGCAATTAACATTAAGCAGTGGGGGAGGGGGAGGGTATAGGTTTATGTCAGAGGATTAGGCAGAATCCTACCAAAATAGCCAACTACTGTCCAGCCTGACCATACAGAGTGCAATCGATCAAAACTACTCTGTGTTACAGCCCCTGCGTGGGCGTGTTTTACACAGTTTAAAAAATTAATAAAAACCATTGAAATAGAAAGAAAAAAAAAAAAAAAACTACTGTTACAAAAACAAAATATATAGAAGGAAAAAAAAAAAAATAAAACCAAAAACACACAACCAACAAACAAACAAAAGAATTAAATAAAATAGGTAAATTAAAAATTAAATTGATTTTCAAATAAACACAAGTAAAAATGTAAATAAAACTAAAAAAAAAAATATATATATTACTTTAACATTAAACCAAGAATTTTAGCAGTAGAGGACAAAAGGGGGGTGGGGGGGCTGCATAATCAAAATAATTACTGCCCAGCCTGACCTGAGTGAAATCATTCTATGTTCTAAAAAAAAAAACAATTAAAAGTAAATAGATTAAACTAAAATTAAATAAAAATGTAATACACTAAAAAATGATTAACATCAAATGTTTATATTGTAAAGCGCTGAGCAAACTGTTGGCACTATATAAATCCTGTTAAAACAGTAGGAGGGAGGGTGTTTGGTACCCGACTGCAATCATTCTGTTACAAAAA